AGAGAGGCAAAAGTGGACATTGGGGCACTGGTAAATGAGCTGGAGAAGTAGTAATGGGGATCAAAGAAATGGTGAAAGAACTGATCAGTTTTTCATTAGATTTCATAGTTGAAGATACCAGCAGCAGATCAGAACTTCAAGAGAGTTGGGGGTAGAGATGAGTGTAGTGGCCATCACTAAAGAGAAGGTGCTGGGGAAGCTGAAAGGCCTGAAAGTGGATAAATCACCTGGATCAGATGGACTATACCCCATAGTTCTGAGGAAATAGCTGAGGAGATTGTAGAGGCATCTTCTGGTTTGCCTTACCAAAATACAACACCTCTCATTTATCTAAATTAAGCACTATCTGTCACGGCTTGATCTGTTAGCCCATCTGCTGAAGGTCCTGTTGTACTCTGAGATAACATTCAGAAGTGATCTTTCAGGAATTACTGGAGTCAGAGCAGGCTCCAGGGGACTGGAAAATGGCAATTGTAACACCCCCGTTTAAGAAGGGAGGGAGGCAGAAGACAGGAAACTGTGAGCTGGTTAACCTGAACTTGGTTGTTGGTAAGGTTTTGAGAGTCCATTATTAAGGATGAGATTGCAGAGTACTTAGAAGTGCATGTTAAAATAGGGCTGAATCAGCATGGCATCAAGGCAAGTCATGCCTGACAAAGCTGTTGAACACTTTTTCATAAAATCTCTACAGTGTGGAAGCAAGCCATTCGGCCCATCGAGTTCACACTGACCCTCCGAAGAGTATCCTGCTGAAACATACCTCCTAACCAATCCCTGTGACCCTGCATTCCTGATGGCTAATCCACCTAGCCTATATATATCCCTGGACACTATGGACAGTTTAGCATGGCCAGTCCACCTAACCTGTACATCTTTGGATTGTGGGAGGAAATGGGAGCACCTACAGGAAACCCACACAGACACTGATAGAATGTGCAAACTCCACACATACAGTCACCTGAGGGTGGAATTGAACCCAGGTCACTGGCGCTGTGAGGCAGCAGTGCTAACCACCGAGCCATCGTGCTGCCCTGAGCCACTGTGCTGGAGGAGGCAATGAGCAAGTTAGACAAAGAAATGCCAGTGGACGTGATCTTTTTGGATTTCCAGAAGGCCTTTGACAAGGTGCTGCACAGGATGCTGCTAAGATATTACCAAAATAGGTGGTGTAGTGAACATTGAAGAAGATTATCTCAGGCTACAATGGGACCTTCATCAGATGGGCTAATGGACCAAGGGGTGACAGATGGAGTTTAATTTTGATAAATGAGAAGTGTTGTCTTTTGGTAAGGCAAACCAGGGCAGACCCATACAGTTAATGGTTGGGCTGTGGGGAGTTTGCCGAACAAGGAGACTTAAGGGTGCAGGTGCATAGTTCGTTGAAAGTGGAGTTGCAGGTAGACAGGGTGGTGAAGAATGCATTTGGCATGCTTGCCTTCATTGGTCAGAACATTGCGTATAGGAGTTGGGAGGTCATTGCAGCTGTAAAGGTCATTGATGAGGCCACTTTTACAATACTGCTTACAATTCTGGTCACCCTTCTGTAGGAAGCATGTTGTTAACCTTGAGAGGGTGCAGAATAGATACAAGGATATTGCCGGGACTGGAGGGTTTGAGTTATAGGGAGTGGCTGAATAGGCAGGGGCTTTTTCCCTGGAGCGTCGGAGACTGAGGGTGACCTTACAAAGGTTTATAAAATCATGAGGGACATGGATAGAGTGAATAGCCAAGATCTTTTTCCTGGAGTGCAGTAGTCCACAACTAGAAGGCATGTGTTTAAGGTGAGAGAGGAAAGGTTTAAAAAGGAATTGACAGGTAACTTCTTCATGTTGATGGTGGTGCATACATGGAATGAGCTGACAGAGGAAGTGGTGGGGATGGGTACAATTAGAACATTTAAAAGGCATCAGGATGGATAAATGATTAGAAAGGATTTTAGAGGGATAGGGGCCAAATGCTAGCAAATGGGACTCGGTCAGGTTGGCTGGATTTATTTCTCCTCATCTCAGTTCTAAAGGATTGTCCCTACAGTCTGAGGCTGTGGCCTTGGGTCATAGTTTCTCCGGTAACCTTACCCGTTAATTTAGATTTCGATTTGTACCTTCTATTCCTTCCTGTTGTGGTCTGATTATCATTTCCCATATTAGTATCTTTCCCTTTTGCCTTGTCTCCACCCTCTAATTTGCAAATTTGATCTCTGATATGGTGAAGGTACAGCTTCAGTGCCATTAGTAGAGTTCCAGGATTTTGAATTGATCGTAAGTGAATGACAGTATATGTCCAAGTTACAATGGTGTGACATGAAAGGGAACGTAGCGTGGTATTTTTGTTGATGTTAATTGGTAAGGGCAGCATTTATTGCTCATTGTTAGAATCCATGTAGAGACTAACAAAAGAAAATTTTGCTCTGAAACTATAATTGCAACAAATTAAAATCACATTGGCTAAACACTACTTAGTAGTCAACTAATACACTGAACTACA